TTGTGACAAGGGACAGAGGGAATTTTACTACTCATTGCAAGGAAAATCCTCACTCACCTTCCGTGAGCCACAGCACTTAAAACCCACAAACCTTCAGCTGGTCATCCTTAGCCAGTCCGATCTCTACAAGAAACTGGCCTATGTGCTTGTGCTGGTCACCCTGTAGCTGAATCACTGCTCCATATTCTGGATGCTCAATCACAGTACCAATGCAGGCAAATTTCTTAAGGGCCTTCACTAGTTTCTTTTTGTCGTAATCATCAGCAATTCCTTGGGTAGTGGTCAGGGTCTTCCTGCCGTTGTGCTGTTGAATCCTTATATGGATATACTCCTCTGTCCCCGCAGGCAGCAGGTCATCACCCTTACTTGCATCAGCAAAGGGGTCGAAAGAGTGGAGGTTCTGGATAGCATACAATATTACTCCTTCTCCTCAGTGGAAATGGCCGGCGGAAGGCGGTGGCTGGAGAAGGCGGGCAGGGGGGACAGAGCATCGGGAAGCGAGGGCGCTCAAGAGGGAGGCTGCTGAGTCCTCCGCAGCGGCTCAGTGACTGGGGCTCTATCTCTACTCTTAGGGAACCTTAGAGACCAGACTAAATACAAAACAAATACATCTGTAATCGGTAAACAATAATAATAGATACATTACTAAAAGTTTACTATGTTCTAAGGTCTGGTTAAGTGTTCTTTCATATTCAACTACACCACAAGCACCATTATTAGTTTCATTTTAGAGATAACAAAAGAGAGTTTAAGAAATAAAAAGGGAGAATGTAAGTTATTTGAATTGCATAGTTAACTAAGTGAAAGAACTAGTATTCACACAGTGTAGCAAGTTACAGTTAAGAGAGAGATCAAAAAAGGAAGAAAAATGTTGCTGTGGAGTTAATTCTGACTTGTGGTGACAACACAAGTCAGAGTAGAATTGTGCTGCGCAGGTTTTCAATGGCAGATGTGGGTAAATTTCATGTCAACTTGATGATACCTGTTGTGGAAGTAGGGGTATAATGAGTCCAAAATCTCAATTGGGTCATTGCCTGGTGATACCTCCTTGGGGGTGTGACCTTTTTATACAAGAGACACAGAATTTCTCTCTCTTGTCTTTCCATTGCCTTCTTGCTTGCATGGATTACATATCTGGCTCTGGTGTTGGAAGCCCATGTGGCGTACTGACATCAAGGGC